TTTGGAAGAGTAATCAATGACTTTTTTTTTTTTATTAAGTTTCCATAAACGATGTCAATTGATGAATATAGTGCATCGCGTTCTAAAATATTTTGAATTTTTTTTCTTTATATATATATATATATTTCATATCGTTTTGATGTGCTGATGTCAAAAATAATTTTTAAAAAATAAAAAACTTGATTTTGATGCATTTCTAAGCAAAAAACTCTTTGAACTGCCACCGCAATCCCAAATAAGCCATTTAAAGTCCTAAAAAATCAAAGTAGCTTGAGAATAAGGCTTATACGTTAAATAATTAGTTAATTTCTTGATTCTAGCAAAATGATTAATTCTCCTAAGTCAATGTAGTTATTGCTTAATACTTGTAAAAAATCACATTTGATAGACTTGAGGACTCTTAAATGTTTTAATAAGTATCTTTTTAGAGAGTAAAATGATATTTTAGAGCGAGATGCTGTGAAAATATACATGTAATAAAGAATAGAGGTTGTAAACCCTTTACCTAAGTGGTTCAAGTGGTATATATAGTCTTGAATGTTGTCATGTTGCTTGAATAGAGGGGTTGAAGTGTCATTTTCTTCTCATAACATTAATGAAAAATAAATACTCTTTATACAATATTAATGTTGATGAAAACATGCAGACTCTTAAAATAACTTTATACACTACCTTTTACACAACATTAATGTTGATAAAGATACAATGAGCTCTTAGAAAACTTTTATACACGGTATGAGAGAATGAGATTTAAATTATATTGGGTCATTAAAAAGATCTTTTATAATAAATAAATAACTTTTAGATGCTAAACTTTTTCCATGATTGAACCCGTTAAAGCTGAACTCTTTCCTAAAGTTAAGTCTATTTGGGTCGAACTCTTTTCTAAGGCTGAGCTAATGACATTAAACTGTTTTTTTAAACCGATTTCATAAGGGCTGAACTCTTTTCCAAGACGGAGCCCATGAGGGCTTATCCTAAATACATTGCCTTAGCCTATATATCTTTGGGCATTCAAAGAGTTTTTTTTAAGACTAATAAATTTGAATTTATCAATTATAAAATCCAAAGCACTATTATTGATATTTTGCATTTGTTAGAGTAAATTCTAAATAATTGGCAAATCCATTGCTATCACTATCATAATGAAGTGCAAATTCAATGCCTTTTATATGTATAAAAACTTTTTAGACATGTAAATCTAATAGTTAGAATTCAGAATATCACAATTTCAATTATATATAAAATGATGCATTTGTTAACTTTAATTTAGTTCCATTTGTTTTGCAACATTTTTCATTCTACTATCACATAATAAATAAATAACTTTTAGATGCTAAAATTTTCCCAGGATTAAACCCGTTAAAGCTGAACTCTTTCCCAAAGCTAAGCCTATTGGGGTTGAACTCTTTTCTAAGACTTAGCTAATGACATTAAGCTGTTTTTTTAAATTGAGTTCATAAGGGCTGAACTCTTTTCCAAGACAGAGCCCATGGGGGCTTATCCTAAATACATTGCTTTAGTCTATGTATCTTTGGGCATTCAAAGAGTTTTTTTTAAGACTAATAAATTTGAATTTATCAATTATAAAATCCAAAGCACTATTATTGATATTTTGCATTTGTTAGAGTAAATTCTAAATAATTGGCAAATCCATTGCTATCACTATCATAATGAAGTGCAAATTCAATGCCTTTTATATGTATAAAAACTTTTTAGACATGTAAATCTAATAATTAGAATTCAGAATATCACGATTTCTATTATATGTATGAAATGGCGCATTTGTTGACTTTAATTTAGTTCCATTGTTTTGCAACATTTTTCATTTTAATATCAGCCAACAAAATTTGGGCATTCATGATAAAATGGGTTTTGTTTTCCTCCTCCTCCTCCTCTTTTTTTTTCTAAGTAATATTTTGAAAATGCACCAAAAATAAAAAAGACAGCGCATTGGTCCCCTAAATATGGACCGGAAAAAGCCATTTACAGGTCACAACCAAACAGGCCCAGATAAGGTCCACCCACGTCCAGGCTGATCCACCCTTCCTGCCTTCCTCCTTTCCTTCCAATTGAATGAAAGCCTAGCCTCGAGCGGCAAGATTTGAAAATACAATTGAAAGGGACGAAAAACCTAACTATAGTTAATACATACACAATGAAAATACACCACGTCAGCAATCATTGCCGTATGTTGCCCTATCTTAACCAACCCCAGTTAAAAAATCCCCAAATGTCTGTCCTATAAATGACCATCACCGAAGTCCATCTCCTGCAAAATCTTCCCCAGAAGGCGTCTTGATAAACGCTTTCGTTCCAAATCTCCTTCTTTCTTCCATCAGATCTACTTTGTTTCTTGTTTTCTTTCGTCTCTTAATCACAGCGAAAATGAGAGAGTGCATTTCGATCCACATTGGTCAGGCTGGTATTCAGGTCGGAAATGCCTGCTGGGAACTCTACTGCCTCGAGCACGGCATCCAGGTATCTTTCGATAGATCTGTCAATTCTGGTTTCATATCTTCCAACATTCTGTAGATCTTATACTTTGTACATTTACACATTTGCTTTTGTGCTTAAATCTCGAGTTTTATATGTGTTTTTGCTTGGATTTGCGGATTGTTGTTTGGTTTTAGTTAGATCTAAACTTCACCAGATGTGAAAATATGTTTTCGATTTTTGGGTTTGTTTGCTTGGTTTCCATTGGATCTGTGGGTTTTCATTCACATTTTGGTCATCTTTGTTTATCATTTCTTTCAAATTTGTTTGATATCTCTAGATCTAAGTTTAGTTCTTATTGTGTATCGATCTTTCTTATATCTAAATGTATATCTTTGCAAACGAATGCTTGAATCGTAAAGTCTTATTTTTGAATATTATGTATATTCCACTAAATATTATTCGAATATGAGTAGTTTTTTTTGTATTTATTATTGATATGAATTGCTGATAAATGTCTGTGCGTTACTTCTGTAGCCTGATGGCCAGATGCCAAGTGACAAGACTGTTGGTGGTGGAGATGATGCCTTCAACACCTTTTTCAGTGAAACTGGTGCGGGGAAGCACGTCCCACGTGCCGTCTTTGTAGATCTTGAGCCCACTGTCATTGATGAAGTCAGACCCGGAACTTACCGCCAACTTTTCCACCCTGAACAACTCATCAGTGGCAAGGAAGATGCTGCCAACAATTTTGCCCGTGGACACTATACCAGTAAGTGTCATATGTTGTTTGTTCGTTTCCCTATTTTCTATAGACTTGTGAGTTTATGATTCTAATGATTGTCTTTATTGTTTCAGTTGGCAAGGAAATTGTTGACCTATGCTTGGACCGTATCAGAAAGCTTGCTGACAACTGCACTGGTCTGCAAGGTTTCCTTGTATTCAATGCTGTTGGTGGTGGTACTGGATCTGGTCTTGGATCCCTTCTCTTGGAGCGTTTGTCTGTTGACTATGGAAAGAAATCCAAGTTGGGTTTCACTGTCTATCCATCTCCTCAGGTTTCTACATCTGTTGTTGAGCCCTACAACAGTGTCCTTTCAACTCATTCCCTGTTGGAACACACTGATGTGGCTGTGCTTCTTGATAATGAAGCCATCTATGATATCTGCAAGCGCTCTCTTGACATTGAACGACCCACCTACACCAACCTCAATAGACTTATCTCTCAGGTATATCATATACTCGTGCTTGGGATGCTTTTGTGGATTTATTGATGCTCGGAATGTAATTGTATGTATCAATAATAATGCGAGGTGTAATGGTTTACATGGTCTTTGATATCGAATCAAGTTCAAAAGGAAACCTCAATTCTGTAGCTGTCGCAAATTTGAAGATGGTACTTAACTGACCTTTTTGAATGGCAATTGCAGGTCATTTCCTCCCTGACTGCTTCTCTGAGGTTTGATGGTGCTTTGAATGTGGATGTCACTGAATTCCAGACCAACTTGGTTCCCTACCCTAGAATCCACTTCATGCTTTCCTCCTATGCACCCGTTATCTCTGCTGAGAAAGCCTACCACGAACAACTCTCTGTTGCTGAAATCACCAACAGCGCCTTTGAACCTGCATCTATGATGGCTAAGTGTGATCCTCGCCATGGCAAGTACATGGCCTGCTGCCTGATGTACCGTGGTGATGTCGTGCCTAAGGACGTTAATGCTGCAGTTGCTACCATCAAGACCAAGCGTACGATTCAGTTTGTTGACTGGTGCCCCACTGGATTCAAGTGCGGTATCAACTACCAGCCACCCACAGTTGTTCCTGGTGGTGATCTTGCCAAGGTCCAGAGGGCTGTGTGCATGATCTCCAACTCCACCAGTGTTGCTGAGGTGTTCTCTCGCATTGACCACAAATTTGACCTCATGTATTCCAAGCGTGCTTTCGTTCACTGGTATGTTGGTGAGGGTATGGAGGAAGGTGAGTTCTCCGAGGCTCGCGAGGATCTTGCTGCCCTCGAGAAGGATTATGAAGAGGTGGGTGCGGAATCAGGCGAGGGCGACGATGAAGACGGCGAGGAGTACATGTGAGGTGCTGCATTACCTGCTTCTCCAATGAAGTGCTTGACACTTTTATACGAGTCGTTGTTTGGCAGTGCCATGTGTCCTGTTCCAAGGGTGTTTAAGGAACCCTATTATATTTTAAGCTACTGCGACATGTTTCCTATTCTATATGGAACGTGATCCAGTGGATTGAGCCTTTTTCAAGCACTGTGGCATTAGGAGGCTTTTAAGCATACAATAAAAGGAGTGTTTTTTGGATTTCAGATTTATTTGATTCTACACCTCATTTGAATTGATGATGCAACCATTTTTTTTTTTTTTAATTTTCAGTTGAGAAACATAATTAATTATTCATTTCAGGTAACACAACTCCTTATAATTCATTTGGGAGGGAGAAAGACTTTATAAAGTCAACTCAAATTTTCACGCAACCACGTCGACCCTCAACGATTTATAAAAACTAGATGTTTAAAAATGTATGAAAATAAATATCATCAACATGAATTAAGATAACTAATGCTCATATATATAAATACATTCTGCTGCGCGCACTTAAATTGCATGTTACATGCACGACAGGAATCTAATGGTTACAAGTCATACTCCGAGATTCAAACACTTCTGCAATGAGACCAAGAACATCTTTCCTGTCATCCCAGCAAGCAACTGGAAATTGAGAATATTGTGACATGCTGGAGATCCAATTGTTGATAGCATATACAACGATAAATAATTAACCAGGGCAGACAGAATATCAAGGAACTGGTTTTACAAAAGCTTTTTTTGGTGGTTCATTTTAAACTAGGAGCTGTTTGAGACATTCTTTCATCTTCCAGCAGTTCATATGGATCGATATGTTGTGGTGGCGAGGTTGGCGCATCGCTTCCATCGTGGACGAAACTTGACCCAAAGCACTGTCCAGGAAAAGAGGAAACATATCAGTAACTAGATTCCATGACACACAAATAAGAGTATGTTTGTTTAAAAGGCGCGCTGCTCTTGAAAAACATGAAATTCACGCTTTCTGTGAGAAACATATTCTAAGTTATGCACAACCAATTCGATGTCAGGGACTATTTGAGTCTCTCTAAAGCATCAACAGCCAATATCAGATTTACTAAGCACAAAACGATGAGAATAAGAGAAGCTAGCTGGGAACAGAAGTGAAGGTCACATGAAGATTTACAAGGCTATATAAATGCCAAAATCTCAACCACCTTCAATTCAAACTCGAATCAAGCTTCCAAAGATATGGCCCCCATTATGGCTATAAAAGAATGTATGTGACATCATGCAGTATTACCAAGAAGTGGACTTGCAACTCGATAGAGAAAAAAATTATCCACTCCTTGCCTTCCCTATAATTTTTCTGTTTTTTTTTTTTCCAACCTAGTAATACAATGTTCCAAAATTGAAATAGAGGGTTAAACCAGCAGGCATCCAGCTCCAAAAAAAAGAAAAAAGAAAAAAAAAGATCAACAAGTAATTGCTGCAGTATAAGATGCCTAATATTCTTAGCTATAGAGCAAACTACATGATTGTTAGATTTGATGTTATGCCAGTAGTTTGCTGAGTCTTCCTCAACAACATGTCATGAACCACATTCGAAGAAATATTTCATGTTCCGCTACCTTTCTTGTTTGTGTATATAAACTGAGTCTGATCTCATGGCCAAGCGATTCCTATGTATAATCATAATAATGGCAACTTGTAAAACAAGTATACATACACAGAGTCCAAACAGAAACACATTACATCACAGTACCACTTTCAGATCTCAAATCTCAATACACCACATAACTTGATCACCTTCCACCAAAAAGCATATCTCAAATAGCTGAATAACATGTCAGTGTAGAAATAATGATAACGGAATTGGCACTGATCCACAGTACAATCTATTTTTAGAAAATAAAAATACCTTAACCTAATACAGCACCAGGTTCGGACAAAGAAGCGATGTCTGAATTGGCAATGATCCGTGGTAACATATAACAGACAAAGGCGTGGCAGAAAGATAACTTACAGAGTAGAGAGCAGAAAAAGATGCAACAATTATGAGAATCAATGGCCAAAATCCCAAGAAGAAAGCTCCTCCAATTGTAAGCAGAAGTTTAGCCCGAGGAACTAATCCCTGGAACGAAGGAAAAATGTAAGCCCGTCTTAGCACACCTGAGCTTAGATGTGCAAGGAATAACCTTTACATATAGGTAAGGAAGTATACACACCAAATAATTCTCCCACGATTGTAGCTCAAGTTTTGGCATGGCATGGTTAATAGAACATTCAAGCAATTCTTTGACAAATAAGCAAATGGAAAAACAGACTTTGAGAAATAAACAAAGAGCAAAGAAACAAAATTAACCTCAAGTCCTTCACTATTAAGAGCCATTGATTTCTCCCTTTGATTAGACAGACCTTTATCAATTTCAGTTGATACTGAATTTCTTTTAGAGAAACCCCAGTCTTCCTCTCCAATTTTCATTTCATCTTCCACTCCATAATTGCCTCTATTGGTCTCTTCAAGCAATGAAGTCGGAGTCATACCCCTCCTCTTCAGTTCCTTCATAAACAATGATTCCGGTGGCTCTTCCCCTAAAAAAAATAAATACAAAAACCCTCTTCACCAAGCAAACACCTCCTCTTCAGTTCCTTCATAAACAATGACTCCGGTGGCTCTTCCCCTAAAAATAAATACAAAAACCCTCTTCACTAAGCAAACCCACAAACAAATAACATAAAATATTAACAAAAAGTTACTATCTTTTTAATATATAAGAACACAAAAAACCAATAAAGTTCGAAACTTCGACACGAGTATCAAAAACCGAACTTGCCATTTCTTTTATTATTGTCTTCTTCTCGGACTGAGCAAAAGACCTTAAACTTTTTCTGTTCCTCATAATATCTTCTTGAGCTGCCATAGAAAGTTCTCAACTTAAGAGTTGTTTTCCTGGAATTTGATTTCCCACGAAAGTTTTTTGACGGGGAAATGGAGAGTGGAGGGAGAGTTGATTTGATAAGCCATTCTGAGGTGGCGTTTGGCATCAAGAGAATGAGTCTATAAGTAATGAGAGCAACTTTTCAAAGAGAGAAGATAAAATAAAATAAAATCAGAAGAAGAAAAGTTTTGTGTTCGTTTCTAGGGAAACGAAGGCAAAGTGGTGAAGGCAAGAGTGGGTTTCGGTTGCCAGTGTCAAACGAGTAGGCGTATTTTAGTGAGTAGGTGTAATGTGGAACTAACGTGCGAAGAAGTGACGTGTCTGTTGGTTGGCTTTTGTGGCCAGGAAGTAGGGTGAAGCACACGTTTTGTGGAATAGGAATGGCCACACAATTTACTCTTCACTTTGGATATGAAAGGGTTGTTATGTTTCGTTTTAAAAATATTTTAAATTTTATTTATTTATTTTAAATTAATATATTTTTAATATTTTTAAATTATTTTAATATGCGGATATTAAAAATAAAAAAACTATTAAAATACATTTCAGTATAAAAAATCATTTAGAAAACAATGATAAATATATACCGTCAAACTCCAAAAAAGCCAATAATAAAAAAATAGAAATAATATATTAAAATCAAGGGTTTTCATTTACTGTTTAGAAACTTGAAGAACAGAGAGAAGGGATTAGCTATGAAAATCATGATTTGTGAGCGTGTAAGACAATGATTAAGTCAATTGTGAAAAGAAAAAAATGATCAAGTCAATAATTGTTTGGTTCTCACTCTTTTCCCTTCCTGTGCTTGATCCTTGACAGGATTCATTTCCCTACAAACATGAACTGAGGGTAAGCAGGAGGCCATGGTATTTCGCAGCAGGTTATTTTCCTCAGGTGTCACATGCTTATCTCATATCTACTACGGTTTCTGATACAACCAAATATGTAAGGTAAGGAATCTAGTAAAGATAAAGAGTCTGATATTATCTGCAACAGTCATTACTCTGTTATTGTCTTGGAGTACATATATATATATAGACACACACACTCTTAAGCTTTTTCCACCATGTACTTGTGGACATGAGTGGTGAGCTGACCTAGAGTTATTGCACCCTGAATATAGGGTAAAATAAGTACAATATCTAATCATTTGTCTAGATTTGCTTCAAATGTCACCAAACATTTGTCAGAAGAATCATGGCATACAAGAATTTGGAGGCAACAGCTGAAACACTGAATTTTGTGTCTCTGGCCTCATTCAAACTCCAAGCCTTTTGTGGTAAAGTTGATGCAAAACACTGGTTCGTCACTAATTTGCTTGATTAGTTCACAATCACGGAGTTGTTTCTTCTCCATGTAAATACATGAAGGAAATGCTAAAGGTTCCATAGAAGTTACTTTTCATGTCTAAGAAATGCAGGATAGTGACTGCTATTTTTTCAAAAAAAATTTCGCCCATGCTACTTTGAAAAAAAATCTCTAATCCAAATTCAAACAAAGTTTGAAACTTAATGAAGCTGAACTGCATATATGATTGATTTTTGACAGGGAAAGAGAGGAAGTCAAACTTCACGGAACTTTCTACATTGATAACCGAGTGTCATATAGAGAGGAATAAATTCATAATTCACGTCTTTCACGCACAGGATTACACAAGTTATATTATAATCTTTGTTATGTAGCGTAATTATTGGAGAATTTGATTCATGTATACGCCAAGGAAGAGCTGGTTACTGATGATGAAAAAAAAAAAGAAAAAGAAAAAGAAAAAATAAAAAGGAATCTTTCAATAAAAAAAAAAAAGAAAAAGAAAAAAGAAAAAGGAATCTTTCAATAAAACAGAAAGTTTTTTGTTGTTTCCAGCCGCTTGAGCCTCCAGACGGCTGGAAATGTTACAGCCGCTTGGCCTAGCCTAAGCAAAGTGGCTGGAATTTTCTAGTTAGAAATTCCACTTAAACATGGTGTTTGCTTTGCCCTGCATACCTTTTTTTCATGTACAAATTACTTTATACAAACTTGTTCCTCAAAGAATTTATAAGAGTTTCTCTACACACGTAGTGACTTAAACATGAGAGTTTCTTGTTCCTCGCTAACTGAAAAAATTATTTTTTGTCATGACTTTCTTGTAGTTCATGTAGGGCCATAGTCTGAAACCTAAATAAAACTTGCAAGTTTCTGCCATCAAACAAGTAATTCCATAAAACTATTTATATGCTAACTGTATGGATGGCTTTCAGAAACGTTGTGCTAGAAAGCCTGTTATGACCAGGCAATATCTTTCTTGCAAGTTCCCAATAGCCTACAAATTAGCAGTGAATGGCGGGGCTATACATAAAGGATCCAACTCTGATTCACATGTAGACAAATAGACGCCGAATATAGTTTGGATGATATGGACAGGACATGTATAGTTCACACCACTTGGTGGATTTCTTGTATTGTCTATTTTCGATTACCGAACTCAGTCTTGACAGCATATTTTTCTTGCAGAAAAAAGATCAAAATAAAGCCTTTGTGTTCACTTATGTTCTAAACAGTATTCAGAAAGGAGTAATTCTCCTAAACAATGGTCTTCACCTGGATTGATTGGAAAGTCGTTGAAGTTGCATGTGTTGGAGTTAAATCTGAGACCAGCAGAACAGCATCTCCCTTTTTTATCATCCCCTTTGTTCTTATCAGATCAATGGTTTTTGAGATGTTGGCTTCCATATCATCTGATAAATCAACAAGAAGTGGGATAACTCCCCACTGCAAATTCAAAGCCATCCGAGCATTATTGTCACTGGTAAACGCAAATATGGGAGGGTAGGGCCGGTTGCGAGATAAAAGTGATGCCATTTCACCATGCTTTGTGTACACAAAGATAGCGTCTACACCAAGGTTGTTAGCTGGAGAACAAAAACACCAAGGTTGTTAGCTGGGGAACAAAAACACCGGCATAAATTCCAAATAGTCATGGCCTGGATATTTTGGAGTGATACATCAAAAGTTAATACCATGTGTGTGCTTATATGTCCAAAAGATGAGGAAAGACCACGCATTAATGATTGATGAAGTACATTTGTTAGCATATTTCACTGCACTTCTACAAAAACCCAAAGGGTTCCAATTGCTTACATATCTGGTATTTTTAGGGATGGCAGCACGCAGAGAACAACTAAAACACACATTTGGTCATCAATGAAACTACAACTACAAATCCCATGCCATCTCCAGTTAACCATCTTATGCATAGAGAATATGAAGTTTTTGGAAATCTCCAAGGCATTGCTTCAAGTTACAATTTGACTGAAAGATTCGTCAAGGTGCTACACAAAAGCCAACTCAACACATCAATTGACTTGTGGCTCAGTATTGTCCAAGTTTGAATGATTATGTAATTTTGTAAGGAAAGCTATTGTTTCATCAATGGATTTCCACAGTTTATAGAGAATGTTAAGAGGACACCTTTTGTTATAAAAAAAAAAGGGTGAAAAGATATTTAGAGAAAAGGATTAGCATCTGTCATGACATCCATCCAATTGATGCTTCACAATGAAAGTACTAAAATGTAAGTGAAGGTTAAAGGAAAATCATACCCATTTGAACAGCACAATTGCATATTTCTTCAGCAATGCAATCAGACAACGTATTGCCCAGCTGACTGTTATGAAGTGCACTCTGTCGGTTTTCCTCATGACTCCATAGTTCCATTCGACTGCTGACCATCTGCAAGACAGAAAGAGCCTTCTGCCCATGTAATCCAATAGCTGATTCACCAGACAGCATCAGTGCATCTGCATACTGTCGAACTGCTTCAGACACATCTGCCACCTTTTCAAATAAAAGAAGGCAGTAAAACAAGACTATATATTGTTTTTCTTTACAGAAAGAAATGCACGTTCCCTTTAGAACAGAACAGCTCCTTAGACAAGACAGTTTAATCTCATGAATAGAAGTCTCAACTGCATAACCCTACTGTTCCTCTCAATCCAATCATTCCACATTCAGATTAATGGGACAGCGATCCAAGTTCATGCCATGTCTAACAAAAAGCAGCTTCCATCATTCCATGAGATGCAATACTGGGAAGCCACACTGTTTAATTCCAGACTACATCGAAAGGAATTTCAAAGATCTCTCACGACCAAACAGTGAATTAAGGTGTTTCCTTTTTTTTTTCACTTCTTTATCTGACTTTGTAGATCCCACACTGTTTAATTCCAGACTACATCGAATGGAATTTCAAAGATCTCCCACGACCAAACAGTGAATTAAGGTGTTCCTTTTTTTTCACTTCTTTATCTGATATTGTAGATGTATATAGAAATTTTCCTTTTGTCCTCTAGTGTAGAGCTTTTAAACCGGTTGTGTAAGGTTCGAATGCTTTGGCTTTCTATTCTCAAGAAAACACCTTGTAAAAAAAAATGTTTAGATGTTTCTCTCTCCCTCCAGAAAAAGTGTCCCCCTATGCTACTATAAGATATTAATTTGCAATTACAACAGATGTTGTCAAATAATACCTCAGCACGTGTTGGAGTTGGGCATTCGACCATTGATTCAAGAAGTTGAGAAGCAATAATTACTGGCTTGTTCAGCTGCCTACATAAACGAGTTACATCCTCTTGGACTGTTGGAATCTGTTCAAGTGGAACTTCAACTCCTAGGTCACCACGAGCCACCATGATTCCATCAGATGCCTCTACAATTTCTTCCAATTTCTGAAGAGACTCCAAGGTCTCAATCTTTGCCAGTACTCTTATTAATCTGTAAATGACAGCAATGTTCAAGTTTCATACTTCGTTTTCCAGAAGATACTAAATAGAAGGGGAAAAACAATTATATCTATGTTGTTATCTAACTTTGTATAATATAGGACATAGATAAACACCATTTCACAAATATGGCAACGTAATATTAGCTAAATCAAGGCAGATATAACTTTTAACGAGAAAGAAAAAAGAGGATGTTGGAAAAGAGGGGGCGGGGAGGAGAGTGGGGGGAGGATTCTGCACAAACAAGGTTCCGGTATGGTTTCAGAAACTATTTGTCATTCTGTAAAAGAAAACCTATAATTAGTCCAAGTCAAATACATTATATTATTGGAGACAAATGAAAAGAGGAAAGGAAATTTTTATGTGGGCAATTACATGAGATCTCAACTTGGTGAATGTGTTCTTACTTGGACGATTTGGCGGAGAGATAATTCTTCAGATTCTTGACAGAATTGGCATCATTTACAAAGGACATG